ATGTGCATTGAGTTGCATTGCGTTTCCTGGGTTTTCCAATTTTTGTTGCGTTGCATTGTTTGGCATTGATTTGCATTGCTTGGCATTCCTTTCATTGCATAGCACAGAAGGGAGGGATATTGAGGAAGAGAAGGAGGAGGCGGAAGTGAGGAGGCAGGTTCCAGCTGACGGAGGTATAGACTGACGAGGCCCAGGCGGTTCAAGAGCTCCGCGGCTCGCGGCCAGGAGGGGGAGGCGAAGGGAGGATGTAGCCACAGAGCCACGACGTGTGCTCGATTCCTGCGGTCATCTTCAAGCTGCGGAGTTTCCGTGAAGTGCTTCAGAATTGCATCGACAGGCTCCACAAGTACGACGCTGGCGGCAAGTAGGCTCCCATGAAGAAGTTGATGCTTCTGTCTGCTGCGATCGCTCGCGACGAGATGCAGAGAGGACTCCCGCCGCCTTCCGGCACTGGGGCGGCGGAACTCAACCGTATGACGCTACGGGCCATCGCTCGGGCGGTCTGTCGCCACAACGTTCGGCTTGCTCATCGGCTTCGTGGTACCTCTGCTCTTGCTGAACAATATCTGCGGGTCGGCGACGACAACTTGGTCTCTCTCGCTTATTCCGCCGAGTACCGCGACCTGGTGATGCTTACCAACCAGCAGCCGTTCGACGAGGTGGCGCAGCTGGCCGCTCGCGCCGCAGGCCGTCGTCCGCGGGCTGCCCAGGGTGATCATTCACCAGCTGGGGTTCTGGAGCAAATGAAGATTCAGCAAACTTCGATGAGGCAGGCATTGGCGTGGAAACCTAGACGGCGACGTCTTGTGCTCAATGGCCTGAGGCACACGCATTGCGGCTCTGTCACTGTCGAGCGCGGCCCGCCCCCCATGGCCCGCATCATCCAAGAGATCTGGCAGCCGATCTTCGCCCAGGCCTCTCGTTCTGAGTTTGCGATTTCTGAGTCTCAAGACACCCACGTGACTCCCTTTCCTGCAACGAACTCCCCCTCCCCGCCCCAGCTGATCTCGCCAGAGCTTTAGAACGCGGGACGGCCTCCTCCCCTGGCACTGACCCTCTCCCACGCGCCGCGTGGAGGGCCGTTCCTGCTGCCATATGCGCGCATAATGAGTTGTCGTTGCTGATATTCTCGGGGGCGGGCCCTGTCGAAGGTTTAGACCATGCAAACTCCGCCTGCACCCCCAAAGGTGGAGACCCCCTTGATTTCACTGAATGCGCGAGGGATGCTGGCTGCATTCGCCCCCTCTATTAACAGAGTACCGACACTAACGCCCTTGCCCTGACTGCGACGTACCTAGCTAGAGTAGCAAAGCAGCACGTTCATGCAATTCAGCAAGGATTCATCCACGGCCGAAACTTCGGGTCGCACATCATACATTTAGATGCCGAGACGCGCCTTAGCAGCATTGGGGATGATGCTCCCGATCGTCGCCCTTGCATCATTTCCTATGATATACGGGCTGTCTTATCCCAGCATGTCTCAGTTGTGGTTCCAAGCTGTCTTGCGGAGATTTAACTTGCCCCGAGGCTACCTATATGCGATTTCGGCCCTGGTTTCAAATGCTGTCGGATACCTCAAAGTTGGTTCTGAGAGGCATCGGCTTTTTGCGATTTCCCGAGGAGTCCCCCAGTGATGCCCGCCGAGCGGAACATCGTTGGCCCTGGGGATGGCCCCGATACGCCGCCACCCACCTTGCTGCCGCGCGTGCCCAGAATTCCCGCCAGCTGGCGCCTTCTCCGCCGCCTGGGGGCTCCATGAGGGATCGGCTGGCGCAAGCAGTTTCTTCGTACGTTGCCCAGTTATCCCTTCTCCCCTTTCGCATATGTTTCAACAAGAAGCGCATGCGTTGCACAAGCTGTCGAGGCTGCAACAGTCATCATTTGCTCTAGCCGGGCTCCCTTGTTTTCGATGGCTGCGTGCACCCGAGCCGATGAACATGATCAGTATATCATGTTTGTGGCGTGCTGCTGGCCATACATATAGACACCGGAGCAATGTCCTTGGCCGCGTCCAGAACCGTGCTGTCAGCGAAGGTCCGCTGGCGCGGGCACCGGCAAAAAATTGATGTTCGCCCTGTTGGAACATGTCGGTTAGCATAGTCCAGAGGTTAGCCCCCCTCTTCGCTCCCCCTTCTTTTTCAGATCCTTGTCCGCTCTCCTTTTGTCCCCCTCCCTCCTCATGTCCTCTTCAAAGCCCACGCCGGCGCAGTGACAGCAGCCGCGACCGCCGTTGCGAGGCGTAAGCCGCCGAAGCTCCATATTCAGTACACATTAAGTTTGCAGCTCCAGTGTATCCCCGACGGCATCCCCGCGCTCATTCGTCGCAGGATGGCCTCTTGGTGTCCCGAGAGTCCCTCCTCTCCTCTTCTGGACCTCATCATCCGCTGGAAGCGATCCCGTGCTATCTTAGCCCGCGCTTCCCCCTCTCGGGCGTGGCCACACATGAAATCCTTCGCGGGCGCGTGGATAGCAGGTGGCAGATTGAAGATTCTCGCCCAAGCGAAGTGCAGGCTTGGTTGCGAGTGCTCTGACGACATAGCTCACTACAGATTGTGCCCACGTTTGTGGGCCGCGGTTGCGTTCCAACCGTCATGTTTCCCCCGTGTGTGTCTCTGGGCCCGCTTAGGTCTGAGGGGGGTGAGTCTGACTATGACGCGTTACTGTGACGCGTTGGAAGGCGGGCGACAGCGAGCCCATCAAACCTTAGCGTTCGCCTTCGCAATTTACCATCCAACGAGGCCAATCCTTCTGCCTCTCGCCCCTGCTACTGGCGCTCAGGTCAAGCAGGCACGGGCGGCCGCGAGGGCAGCCTTGTCATCATAAGCGCGTGAACACATTGTTGAGGTACGTGCGCTCCTCCTCCTCCTCTTCCTCCTCCTCCTCCTCCTCTTCCTCCTCCTCCTCCTCCTCTTCCTCCTCTTCGCACCCTCCGCCACTCCCCCTTCCTCACTCCACCTCCTCCTCCTCCTCCTCCTCCTCCTCCGCCTCCTCCTCTTCCTTTTCCGCCTCCTCCTCCTCCTCCTCCTCCCTCCACGCTTCTTTTCATCGCCTCTCGATCCTCCGCCCGCCGCATCCTTCCCCCCCGCGGGGGCCGGAGCGCGCGGGCCCCAGGTGCCGATGCTGAGCGACCAGGACGACGGCGCGAAGCCGGAGGGCGGCGACCCGCCTGCGGGCGACGGCCTCGAGCCACCCCAGGCGCGGGCGCCCGGCGACAACGTACGAGGGAGAAGAGGGGCGAGGCTGAGGGAGGCGAGAGGCTGTGGTGTATTCGGGGGTAGACAGACCTCACTTTAGTAATACATGGTTTAGAGAAAACGACCTCGGGCCCAAACCTGGCGGGCACCAAACGACCGGGGGAGGGGTGACAGACGGAGGGGAGTGGAGACGAGGGGCGAGGATGGCTAGGGGGAGTGGATATCATGGCGGGGGTCATGATATGTCCCCAGATTTTATGTCGCCTCTTCTTATTTCATTACGTCCCTGGCCCTCCCGCTGGGCCGCGCACGTGCCGCCGGTCATGATTTGCACCCCCCCCTCTTGGACACCCCCCTCTTAGCCGCCCCCGAAGACGGAGGGGAGTGGAGAAGAGGGGCGAGGATGAGGGAGGCGAGAGGCTGTGGTGTATTCGGGTGTGCACAGACCTACCCTGATGCGTCGATTCGTGAGTTGTCCGTTTTCGGTTCTCGAGGGGGTGCCGCGGCCGTCATTTTCCAGGCTGGCGCCCGCCAGGTTTGGGCCCGAGGTCGTTTTCTCTAAACCACGTTTTAATACAGGGAGGTCTGTCCATCCCCGGTGTATGGGCGATCCTCACACGCCTGACTCCTGTGGACACCCGTTCCGGAGATGGACGGGCGCTGGGGTCGCGGTAACGGGAAGGAGGAGGAATTGAAGATGAAGGCGGCGGAGGATGGGTGGATGGCGGCCTCTGTGGGCGGGGAGGTTGCGGGAACAGCGGCCAGAGGGCAGCCTGGTGGAGAGGGGGAATCATTCGACCACCAGAAAGGTTCTAGTTCCAGGTGGACCTTGCGTGGTATGCGCAGGGCACACCGCAGTCTGCCCGCGCGGTAGGCGGTGACCAGCCGGATCCGCTCCCAACCCAGACTCGGTTCCAGCCGCAGCAACCCCAGTCCCCCCATAGACTGAGCAGTCGCACGCCGCGGGAAGAGAGCCTCGGGGACAAGAAGTCTGGGGACCACCTTCCGCTCCACCCCTGCCCCCGCTCTCCCGCCCTGCAGCAGGCCGAACCGAGCCAGGAAGTGAGGGGATGGCTGAAGTTACCAGCCTCGAACGTATCCTTATCCCTAAGATTGACACGCCGAAAGGCGATGACAATCTTAGGAATTCGCCCTCCAAAAATAAGGGAGTCCATAAGAGTGGCATCGTGATGAGGAGGTGCCCAGCATAGGGATAGGGATATGTTCCAGGCTGCTAATCTGGCCGAAGCCGCTCCCAGCTCAGCAGACCTCCCGTGGCCACGGCCCCCCGCCCCCCCCCCCGACCTGCGGGAGGCCAGGGCAGAGCGGGCTGCCGAAGCGGCGGAGAAGTCTCGGGGCAGGAGAAGGGCGTGGTGCCAATGCTGGATCTGGCGAGGTTATCCATCGTAGATGAGATCGCCATCTCCACGATTGGCACCACACCCCTTAATACCACACCCCTTTCCGACCCCCAGAAGCAGGGCGTCGGGAGAACCCATCCACTCGGGCCGCTGGCGTGTCTCAACGACCGCCAGCCGCCCCCGACCCAAAGAGCCAGGGCAGGCTGAGCAGTCGAGGACGGCGACTCCAATTCACATGCCCAGACCCCCTCCCAGGCCTAGTATTAAGTCGGGCGTGTCCCCCTACAGGGGGATTTTCGACGAAAAATAAAAAACAAATAGTCTAAAAATAATACAAAAATAGTATGGGGACTATTTTGTTTAGTATTGTTTGATCTTTTGAGGGATTTTTTTTAGGTATCCCCCTGTAAGGGGACATGCCCGACATAAGCCTAGCAGGATCAGCAGGGAAGAAGGGATGGGGGAGGGAGGGAGGAATGATGAGGGGGCGGGAAGAGGCCCGAGGGACGAAGAAGGAGGGAGGGGTATGAGGGAGGGACGGAAGTGCGAAGAGGGGGCGGGGGCCGAAAACGGGAGGAGGGGGGAAGGAGGTAGCAGCACGAGAAGTAGGGACGAGGAAGGGGGGAGGAGGGCGGGAAGGAGGGGGGTGGAAGGTGGAATGAGCATCTTCCTCCTTCTCCTTCTCCTCCTTCTCCTCCTCCTCCTCCTCCTCATCATCATCATCAGCATCATCATCATCATCATCATCATCATCATCATCATCATCATCATAATCATCTTCCTCACCCCTTCTCAATGTTGCCTTCTCTCTCTCTCTCTGTCCTCCTCCTCCTCATCATTACCATCATCTTCCTCATCCCTTCTCAATGTTGCTCGCTCTCTCTCTCTCTCTCTCTCTCCTCCTCCTCCTCCTCCTCTCCTCCTCCTCCTCCTCCTCCTCCTCCTCCTCCTCCTCCTCCTCCTCTTCCACCCTACTCGGCATCCTCCCTCCTCGGCCTCACCCTCCTCCTCCTTCTCGTTATCTCCTTATCCCTCCTTCCCTCGCTCGTGTTTCCGCCTATCTCGACCCTCTTCTCGTCTTCCTCTCATCCCCTCTCTGCTCTCTCTTTCTCTCTCTCTGTTTCTCTCTGTCTGTCTCTCGTTTTCTTTTCCTTTGCGCCCTCTCCTCCTCTATAATATGAACTAACTATGTAGGCGCAGAGTCGCACTCATGGATCAGGCAACGCAGTGGGGCCTTCTCTGCCCAGGGAAGGTGGCGCATTGCTTATATGACCATCTCAGCAACCTCCCTGAGCGTCAACTGGCCTCGCAGCATCAGGGGCAAAGGTGGTTTACCGGATGCTGTCCTAGAAAAGGGTCCAATGGCATCTAGAACGGGAAGCCCTCGACACCGTCAAGCTGCAGTCGGCACACCTCAGTCGCCGTCGCATTCGCCAGCATTCTGCACATCCCTGCTGGGTACTGGTTAGCAGCTGATGTCTTAAATTGTCCATTACTCTGAACTCCCTGCGCAACGGCATTCTGCGATTGGTGATGGCACCTGCCGCAGTTAGGTGACATATGGATGCGATCAGAGACAGTGACAGCAATAGTCGACAATCAGGTGGCCGGCTTTCGTGATTGCGCACCATGCATGCGCTGATCATGCGTTGACAAAAGCTACAGGTACGAACAGACCTGTACCACGCATGTCCAACCATGCCTGAGAGAGCCCTATCTTCCGACAGCTTCACGGATGGAGGCTGGGCCGTCTTTGCAATGTTTGTCTCGCTTTAGCGCCGCGCACATTCGTCTCAATTGTTTGCAGCAGCTTCCAGGATGGAGGGCCTGGCCTAAACGCCGCACATCTTGGCTTCGAGTATTTGCAGCAGCTTCGAGGATGTAGGGCGGACCATTTTCAAAGTGTGGCTCTCGCCACAGCGCCGCGCACTTTTGTGTTAAGGCGTGCAACAGCGTCAGGGATGACGGGCGGCTAATTTTCAAAATGCGACTCTCACATAGTGCATGCTCATGGATTCGCATGGTTGAAGTCCAAGGGACGGTGTCCTGTAGCGGGTGAGGATTACCAGGACGCTACAGCATATTTTTTTCGCGGTGTTGAAACCTCAGGAGAGGCATTATGGCACGACTTCGGATCATCAGGATTCAAGAGTCACGTCAACTTGCGGCGCCGAAGTCCCAAAACACGCAGTTTCGCACGATTGGCGATTCTCAGACGGTTGTTTTCCAATGGAGCAGTTCCCGCAATACCGATAATCTTTGCAGGGGCTTATGGAGAGGGAACCTGGAAGGAGGGTTTCTGGCAACACTACTGATGCGTCTTGGGTTGGCACTGGTCCTCCGCCTCCGGAGGAGGGCGGGAAGGAGGGGGGAGGAGAGGGGGAAGGAGGAGGCAGGAAGGAGGGGGGTGGAGGGCGGGAAGGAGGGGGGTGGAAGGTGGAGTGATCCACCTCCTCCTCCTCCTCCTCCTCCTCCTCCTCCTCCTCCTCCTCCTCCTCCTCCTCCTTCCGTAGCCATTTTGGCTCAAGCCATTTTGGCTCAAGCCATTTTGGCTCAAGGCTAAACGGAGGACGCTAAAGTAATATAGCTGACTCTGATTAGCTTTGGCCGATCCGTCGCCTCTGTCGAGCGATTGGCCGCACTAACGATCTCGCTGTGAGCCTGCCCTGGCCTCAGCGATTACAACAACTAACGACTTGAAAGCCGTTCTGCTACTTTTGTACCGTTGCATGCGATGGGGCCTCCTGGCGCCGGCAAGCGTAGCGGCACCCGTGCTGATGGCGGCGGCGACGCTGGTTCACCCTCGAGCCGGTCTTCTTCCGAACGCAGCACCTCCCGCAGCGAACAACGTCGTCGTGATCAGCAACGCCGCCGTCAGCGGCAGGGGGGCGGCTGGGACCAGGGCGCTCGTGATCCTGGCCGGGCTACCTCGGGGCTTGCTGGCGGATCCTCCGCGGCTGACGCCCGCCCCGCCCTGTCCGCAGCGGAGTTTGAGGCCCTTGAAGCTATGCCCACGTTCCCGACGCAGGAGGCGGTCGCCATACACAGCCACCAGTCTTCGACGCCGGGTGGACCCGATCCATGGGCTGCATCTGCTGCTGGTCTTGGCGCTCCTCCTGCTCGTGCGCCCCCTCGCTCGGCTGCTGGCCCCGCGCAGGTGCCTCCTGCTCAGGCCCATGGTGCCGCTGTCGGAGCTCCCTCACCGGGCCTCAATGTCCAAGATATCTCGCGGCTGGTCGCCAACGAGATCCAGACGCACACAGCCACCATCACAGCGCAGGTACAGACTGTGGTCACGAACACGATGGTTGCAGTGCAGGGCACCATTGTCTCCCAGCTGCAGCAGCACTTCGAGCCCACGGTCCGCCGCGTCGACGGCCATGATGGCGACATTCGTGCACTCCAGCAGCAGCAGCAGCGGCTTGACGATGAAACACGTGAGCTTCGAGCTTCCATCAATCGGCTCAACGAGCGGTTGGCTTTGGGAGAGCAGCAGGCCTCTGCTATCGACCTGTCCCGTCTTGCCGACTTCGACCGCGACGCCCACCCGAACGTTTTCACCATCAACGCCAAGTGCGACGTCGCCCCCGACCGGGTCTCACGCTCGCTTGATGAGTGGATCTCTGCCTCCGGCGTCAGC